TTCTTAAAATCTATTTGACGTGGTGGAAGAAGTACTTAAATACTTTCTTTCAATGAAAGTAAATGTAAAAACACTGGATAGTACAAGTATAAGTCCTGCATTCACAATTTTTCAAGTCTAGAGAAAAATGGACTGAGCGTCAGTAACAAAAGAGCTCATTATTGATGATTGTTTATTTTAGTGTTAAATTACTGATGCACAATCATGAACAAGTTACACAGATAATTTACTCTGATTTCATTTTCTTTAGGCACAACAACAGAGCCACTAGTGTTTTGTCACTTTTCATTGCTGATGTCCAGACTCTCCAGTCTCTGGAATACCGTCCAGGGTGAGATGTAATCATGGACTGGAAAACAGTGGTATTGCCTGCTTCATGCTTTACAGGAGAGGACATAGTGTTATTACTAGCAGGTCAGTGCATAAACTCAATCTGCTGGCCCGGTCTTCCGGCCAGTGACATGATGTAAAAAATATGATCCTACCAGCAAGATTTTTTTTTTAATTATTTGTCCTAATTACTTTATATCAATTTAAACTATCCCAGCATATACAATTAAAATAAAAACACAAGTAGCAGTACACTGTAGTACACAAGTGTTGAATACTGAAAAGGGGGAATGCAAATTAGGCTGTGCGAAAACCATGGGTATTGCCCAACGCAATGCCGTGTTTTCCTGAAAGTCTGTAAGAGGTGGGCAGTGGTAAATTCAAATAATTGATGCAGGGGTTTGCAATGGGCAGTTTAGAAGGGGTTCTTGCGTCATGCTCTTGGTGGCGAAATTCAATTAAAGGTTGTGGAGAAACCAGTTGGTGGAACAGTATTGGCTTCAGTGGCAAAGACAAGAATTGTCCCCAGCTTCTGTGTTCCCTCTTGATCTAGAGAAAAAGCAATACATCAGAAATTAGATTTTAAAAAACAAAATAAAGTTACTGAAAATGTTCATAGCTACAGAGCTAAAATAAAAATGTAAGAACAGAGCTAAGTGACATTTAATCTTAATGCATGCGTGTTTATGCACAAATTATAGGTTATTATTACAATGCGCTGCATGTCAATGAAAATGTGATATAACTGACCAAAATTCCCTTTATTGTTTTTTTACTGGACATTTACAGTTTTTGTAAACATTAAACCTACACATAGACTGTGTTGCCAAAGTGTGTTGCTAAATTAGCAAACGAACATTTAGGATTTAGTAACTTCCAGTTAAGTTGCCATGTACATAGTTCTTACCTTTTCTGAGAGCACCAGTTGCCAAACTGTTGCTGTGGCTGATATCATAAAGACTGCCACAATCCTCCAGTTTGGCCTTGTGTAGCATTAGCTGCTTGGCCTTCTGAAGTGACTTGGGAAATGAAAAGTTCTCTCATATCTCTTTCCGCTGTGCTGTGAGTAACGTTAGGTGCAGATGAGCTTGTCCTCTGCCGCTCAAGGGACAGGATGTGACATTTTCAGATGATGACAAAATATTTCTTAATACCCCAATGGCTTGCTGCAGTGCAGGGGTCTCCTCTATACCTTCCACATTAATCATGCTACGGACATGACCGGGCTCCACCCTTTCAGCCAATCACAGCGCCATAAATAACCTGCCTTCCATTTCCACTATGCTCTGTCTCACACAAACATTCTTAGATATTTTCTTCAGACACAGATACATTTTCTTCTTACATACATATATTATTTATAATAAATGTATGTGTGTGTTAAAATATGTAAAAATGAGAGTAAAACATTCATGTGTGATTAAAGATATATGAATATGAGAGCAAAATGTATGAAGGAGTAAGTAAACTAAAATACAGAATAAAATAAAATATATAGATATGAAAATAACAATGTGCAACAATGAAAATAAGATGATGGGAGAGTAAATATACTTTATATGTATGTAACAACATATATATAGAATGTATGTGTGTGAGAGGGCCAGAATGAATTTTGGCTTGTACGGCCCCTCATACCTGTGTGTGATATTAGTATGCCAGGCAGGGGGACAGACAGCTAGTTCCAATATTTTGTTGTTTGGCATTGATTCAATGTCAGCTAATTGTCACCTTGTTCATGTATTTGTGTGTGTGTGTGTGCATGTGTGAATGTTCATTCAGGTTTTAATGTCCTCATAAGGATAAAACATTAAAAATCTTTGGAAACAGAGACATTTAATCCGTCCTGACTTTGAAGAGAGAATGAAAATAAGTCACTGGACTGTCCTACACGTGTGTGTTTATTTCTCTAAGTGAATATATGAGTGTGTGTGTGAGTGATTAAACAAGGGCTTCATAGTCCCCGTGGGAGTCAAAAATGAAGTTCTCAGACATGTTATTCTCAACCGTGTGTGTGTGTGTGAGCGTAAGAGTGTGCCAAAATTGTCTTTTGTACAGTCCCCTGTAGAGTGTAGTTAACAGTATATCAATTATATAAGCAATGGCTGGGGTTTATGGGAATTATCATCGCAGTTGGACATTTGGACATTTCTTGGCAGAAACAACCTGTTAATGAATTGGCTGAATTTATATATTTTCTCTGCCTCAGCTTTTGATAAAGAAGCACAGTTTGGCATCTACATATATATAATGATTGTAAATACAGGAATAGGACAGCCTTTGCTATTATTATTATTATTATTATTATTATTATTATTATTATTATTGGTAGCACTAGGTGTATGGATTATTTATTAAAAAATTGCAAAAACATGCGAACATATTGGATACTTTGAGGGAACCATCAATTTTCTGCAATAAAAGTATTAAAAAATATATCAATGAAGTCAAAGACTATAAATAAAATAAATTTTAAAAAATAGAATAAAATTCTGTTTAATACTTTTTTTCACCTTAATGCAACCTGAGTTGATTATTTGCACTCCAGTTCATGTCTGAAGATATTTGACTTTTTATGACATTTTTAAGTGACATTTCCAGACAATCAATAATTAGTTATGTGTTGGAATTTAAAGTGCGACATCACATTTAAAAGGCTGGCAACCATCTGGGGTTTGAGGTTTGATGAAATAAATAATTGCCGCCCTCCGTCTGTCTTTCCAGATGTCTTTCTGCCCTTTAATTTTCTCTTACTCTGTCTTTCTGTGTGTTTAAATCTCAAATCACTAAAATAGCTGCTGGTACTCCACAGATCACACAGTAAAAATGTGACATGGAAGAGCTTAATACGTGGCCATGATGGTCAGGGTTTTTAGATGGTGGATTGAAAATGGAAATTACATGTTACATGTTCTACAATGTTGTACATTTTCTTGGTTTAAAATGAGAAGAATAATCTAATATAGAATCTGCAGCATGCTGTCACTATAAAATTGCTTATGATTGTGAAAAAACTCAGCCCGAAAAAATGCAGATTTTACAGCTGATAAATATCCTAGGAAACACACACACACACACACACACACACACACACACATAAACATGCGCACACACAGATAGGAGTAAAAGATAAATCGCAAGTGGTAGGAAGCAGTTGCTTCAATCACAAACAGCTTAAATGCACCATCATCTTATTCATCAACATACACATTTCTTCCACAATCCCGCTTTCACTCAAATCCCTTTATTTCCAGGTTGACAGCCTGCATGTATGGCAGGGGAATACAGATAAAGATAACAACCCCAAACACACAATAAATGCACAGTATGCAACACCCAGCGATAGATCAGTGGTAAGGGAAAAGCAAGGGCACTACACAGGAACAACGTACTGTTACACGCATACAATTATCACTTTTAACACTGCTAGAAACCATTTTCTTCTTCACTGCAGAGGAGGGAAATCTGACAGATGTGTGCATGTGTCTGTGAGAGGGAGAGATTGAGAGCGAAATACAGAGGGACAAGCACTGAGAAAGAGAGGGAGGAGAAGTGCACACAGAGAAGCTATTGAGTAACAGTAACGCTCCCACCAAACGAGGAGAATGTTAACACTTTCTTCTCTATCCATCTATAACATGAGGGACCTCCTCGGTCACAAAATCCCCACCAACACGGACTTGCTGGGCTGCTGACACACAGCATCAACTCCCAGTCATACCATCAGTCTCTCCACAGCCAGAGACAACTGCTACTCTGTGTGTGTGTGTGTGTGTGTGTGTGTGTGTGTGTGTGTGTGTTTGTGTGTGTGTGACTCCACAAAATCATGTTATACTATGAGCATGGGATTTCCTCTCTACATGCCCTCCAGATGAAATTTCACCCCATCTCTCTATGTCTGTGTCTGTCTGAGTCTCTCTCTGCTCATTTTGTCGACAGCAACACAGGTTATTGAGTTAGTTGCCAAGCTTTGCCTTACACCAACCCGCATTTCTAACTGTTTTTATTTCAGATGTGATCCCTTCCATGGCTGTCTACACTTGGAGAAGCTCCATGAAATCTGGCTCAAGTTAACTGTGATTTATTTTGAACTTGATTTATTTATTTTAATGACAGTATCTGCACAGCATGGAGGCCCAAACAAATGAGCATGCCTACACTGTTCTGTTCCCCAGATGTAATATTGTGTCCAAGTTGGGCACTGCGCTCGCTTTGTCTCTCACGCGCACACTCTCTCTTACACACACACACACACACACAATAACCCACTGTGCGTACATAGACTCGCTTTTACACTCTTTCCCGCTCGCTAACTCAAACACGCACGCACAAAAGGACACACGCACGCCATCCCGAGCGGCAAGCGCGCGCACACACGCACGCATACACGCATCTCTCTGTCACACACACTCGCAGGCACACACACACACACACACACACACACACCGACGCTGCCCGCAGCAACGAAACGGCACGAATTAACTACCTTCCCTCTTCCTCTCACTCTCGCGTGCGCGCTCACACGCAAACATAGCAACCTGCGACTATTCTGATCCCCCTCCGACACGCGCGCACACACACATATATATATATATATATATATATACATACACGCGTGCCAGCGCGCGGGCACGCATGCAAACACCCAGACAAAATCCTCCAAAACTCACCCTTGGACGAGGAGAAATCCCCGAAGAGAAGCCCCAGCAGGAGGAGAAGCGGGAGGTCGCGTCTCAGCCTGCCCGTTTTCTTCACATGCAGCCTCCTCCTCATCAGCAACATCTCCGGCGCTCCCAAATCCGTCATTTTGCTGTTAAATAAATCCAAGCTGGCTTAATTTTAAAGCCCTCTCCCCACCTTGCCGCTCTGCTTGGCTGAAGGAAGCGGAGGGGGGTAAAAGAGGACGGCCGCCCCCCTCCTCCTTTTTCTTTCGTTTTTATACAAAACAAAAAAACAAAAAAATAATTACAACCGAAGATCAATCACGAATATCCCACACACACATGTCCATGTTAACGTTTGGACAGGATAACCGGTGACGGGTTGACGGTCTGAGATCGGGCAACACGCTGCTGGTGTGAGCTGTCATAGCAGAGACCGGAGGACCGGAGGAGAGAGACAGAGAGATGAAGAGATATAGTGAAGGAGAGGAGAGAGATGGTTGGTAGGTCCGCACAGCACGGCGAGCGAGCGACGACTGAGAGAGAGAGAGAAAGGTGGGGGGGGGAGCATGGGAGAGAGAGGCAGACGCTAAGAGAGAGAGAGGGAGGTTAGTCGAGGAAGTAAGAGAGAGGGAGGAAAAGTGGAGGATGAGAGGGCAGGAGAGGGAAAGAAAGAGTGACTGAAGAGGGAGGAAGGGTGAGGGGAGAAGGATGGGAAAAGGGGGATTTCAGGTGAGGGCAAAAGAGGAAAAAGAGCAAAGGATTGAGATGGAATGAGAAAGGAAGGAAAATCAGGTGAAGAAGAGAGGAAGGAGGAAAGAGACAAAAGAGGGAGGAAGGAGGGCAGATGAATGAAAGGAAAAAGGAACAGGAGGAAGGAAGCATGAAAAGGAGATGAAAAAAATGTAAGGGAAGACAAAGGGAGAGGTGGAGCAAGAAGTGATGGATGAAATGAAAGAAAGAGAAGGAAAGAAAGATTTCAGTAAAGGGTGAAAAAGAGATGGAGAGGGAGGGTAGAGGTAGAGAAGAGAAGAGAAGAAAGAGGAAATGGTTTCAGTAAAGAGATGGAAAGGGAGAGAAGAACGAAAGATGAATGATGGGGAGGAGGGAGGAGAAAAGAGTGACAGGAACGGAGAGATGAGGAGGAAAGAGAACTATTTCAGGAGAAAGAAAGGGAAGAAATGATAAAAGAGGGATGAAGGAGAATTAAGTAAAGACGAAGGAAAGGAGGAATGTGATGGAAGGAACGAAGCAAGACGGAAAGAGATGTAAAAAAAAATGGGGGAGAGAAAAAGTAAAAGAGGAATGAAAGGAAAGAGGGGCTGGAGGAGAGAGGGAAAAAAGGAGAAAGGAGAATTTTCAGTAAAGACAGTGAAAGAGGGAGGGAGGAAAGTGAGAAGAGAGAAAAAAGGGGCTGAAAGGAAGGAGGGAGGAGAAGGAAAATGGATTCATGAAAGAGAGAAGAGGAGAGAAAAGGGAGTGTGAAAAGAGGCATGGAATGAGAGATGAGGAGCAAAGAGATTTAATGGAGTGGGGGGGGGTTGAAAAAAGGCAGAAATGAGCTACATGTACTATATATATATATAGATAGATATACTGTTATAGATATATAGGTACACACTTTAAAGAACGTTTCCAGACGGTGATGTGATTTGATAAGGTCATAATGTTAAAACACAAAAAATATCATCACACTCTACCTCTTGCCAATCAATCTCAGTGCCATATAAACACCACTTTGATTCATCTCTATGAGTGAGTGTGTGTGTGCGCGTGTGTGTGTGTGTGTGCGCGAACCCCAAATGGAGCCACGAGCCAGTTATTGATCCTCGGTCCCTGGTGGCATGTGCAGAGGATCACGCTAACAAGATTACAACGCTACAAACACGACGTGGAGACTTAGCCCGCTGAGCCACCGAGACGACTAACAGCAGCAACATTTGGAAGCAAATGCAAATTATACATGTCACTCCAAATTTGGCCCATTACAGTATTTCACAGCAGGTGTCACCCAGTACTTTCACACAATGAAAAGGAAAGCTAAGAGTGCATGTCCAAAAAGTATAGGCTCTGAAAATCGGCATGGCTTTTGTGACTCCACTCATAGTTTCTCTGAGTTTGAATGAGGATTTACCACTTGTCGCCATCTTGGCAGTTACCGGAGTTATCAAATAAACACCCTTTCAAATGTACCTTTCCTTTATTCTTAATATCTTTTTTAAATGTAAAAGTTTTTTTTTTTCACAGCAAAAACCCTAGAACACATGTCCTGGGCAGAACATAAGCGAGTATTCAAGCACTGTTGTAATGGATTTCTTAGAGAACCAGGGATTCTAGCCTCTAGCTGCCATTAGAGGTACTGCATCTTGAGGCAATTCTCTGCCCAGGCTGCCTGGCTCAAAGTGGATACAGGTCAGCCTGTTAACCCACAAATAAATCTACTAAAATTGGTCCAGATAGATCTGTATTTGTTGCATTTACATATTGGAAAAAGCAGACTACAGTCATGCTGCTAGCAGCTGAATTTGAGCTAATCCTCATTTTGATTCAGACCCTCAAACGGCTCCCTTGGGTCCTTTGACCACATGTTACAGGATTTATAGGCTACAGCTGCTTGATTTAGCTTTAAATAGTTTTCATAATAGATTTGTTGCTAATCTCCCACCATGTTAATCCACACTGATTTTGTTCTACTTGGCAACCTCCTTCCTCCTTATACAGATAGTTAACCATCTCAACTTTGATATCACAGTCTGTGCCAGTGTGTGCGTGTGCCACATGGGTTTATACAGTATGTGTGTGCTTTGGTGTTGTGCTGCATGTGTTAGTATGAGTGTGTGTCGTGTGTGTTTCAGTGAGTGGCTGTGTGTGTGTGGGTTGAGCCATTTCACAGCATTACTGTGAGTCATCCATCAAGCTGGTAGCTCTCTGTGCATTGGGCTAGTTTAGTCATTTTATATATATTTATAAAAACATTTTTTACATCTACTGGTGGGAGTCTTCATAACAGCATACGCTCCTAAAAAGAATGTCGTTTTCAACCTAGACAAGAGGGTCGTTTGACACAACACACATCTGCTCCTGCTCTTGAAAAGACAGGCAGATACTGTAGATAGAGCGATAGAGAGAACATAGATAGATATATAGAGCGATAGAGCGATAGATAGATAGATAGATAGATAGATAGATAGATAGATAGATAGATAGATAGATAGATAGATAGATAGATAGATAGATAGATAGATAGATAAGTCACCCAACTAGTCTGTAAACCAGCCATATACTAAGTTGCTGTCTTCCATTCAGCACCATGGACAGCTTCTATAGCTCAGTGTGGTCAGGCTGCCATCTACTGGTTGAAAATAGACTGCAGGTGAAAGACGACTTCAAAGAGAGGAGGGGAAAAGACAGACAGAGAGAGCCAGAGTGTGATAGTATAAGCTTTAGGGTTTAAATTTAAGCATACTGCTTATCATGAATCAGGGCAGAATTAATCAAAATAAAATACAATTACCCATTATTTTCCTGTGTAATTGGTTATGTGCATCCCGTTTTACCTCTAAAGGCATCACTATATGAGTAAATTACAATGTGGCAACCTTCAGATTGTTGTTGAGGAACTCTCCAATATGAGCATGAAGCTCAACCGAGTGAAATTTTGCAGAGTGGATCATCTGTGATCTCTGAGGATTTACTGGACTAGAAGCAGCTGAGCAATAGTTGAACTTCACATCCATGGCAGAAATTACAAGCAATACCGATAATGAAATCATTCAGAACCAGCCTAGGTTTATAGTGTAGCTTGGGGCTGGGCTCTGATGTATGCACTACTCTGAAGAACACCTCTCAAGAAGTGTAAAGGAGCGGTTTCATTGAGTAAAAGCTATAATACCCTTGAGGATGGTCTTTGCTGTAATTATATGGTTACTACAGTGTTGTGGGTAGGCATGAGGTGCAGCCAAGAATAGTTCTGCTATAATATCAGCTGGAACAAGAACAAGTTGGAGATCTAACTTTAGAGATGCACTGCTGGCAAAATATAAAGTCAGTAACCAAGGAAACCATAAACAGTTCTTCATACACCGATCAGCCATAACATTATGACCACTGACATGGCAATCATGGCACCTGTCAGTGGGTGGGCAGCAAGTGAACATTTTGTCCTCAAAGTTGGTGTGTTAGAAGTAGGAAACATGGGCAGCGTGAGGATTTGAGCGACTTTGACAAGGCCTAAATTGTGAAGGCTAGACGACTGGGTCAGAACATCTCCAAAACTGCAGCTCTTGTGGAGTGTTTCAGGTCTGCAGTGGTCAGTGCCTATCAAAAGTGGTTCAAGCAAGGAAAAGTGGTTAACCGGAGGACAGGGTAATGGCATCAGTGAGGGTCGAGGCTCACTGATGCACATGGGGAGTAAAGACTGGCCCGTGTGGTAGGATCCAACAGACGAGCTACTGTAGCTCCAACTGCTAAACAGGTAATGCTGGTTCTGATAGAAAGGTGTCAGAACAAACAGTGCATTGCAGTTTGTTGGGTATGGGGCTGCATAAGATTATGACCACCAGGGTGCCCAGATGATAATGTCATGACGTTATGGCTGATTGGTGTATATCCATACATTTTATGCACCAAAAGTTAATGAAATGATCCAGGATCTTGTGTTTTGTGCTTTATTGTGCATTGACAAACAGAACAAAAGGAGGTGCTCTCATTCACCCTCTTTTGCAAGAACCTGCTAACCTCTCAGGAGAGACTGTGGGGGGAACATAAATTGCAAACCAGTGTCTGCACTGACATTAATTGAAAACAGAAAGAAACTATCGCCTACCACTGCAGATATATTAGTTTGTTTTGTTTTGTTTTTGACCTCATTATGCAAAAACCGAAAGTACATCCAGGCCTAAAATGTATTCTTCTTAAACCATTCTTACGAGAAATAAATCCAAGATTGGTTGCTTTGATAATGGTGTTTGCAACTTTTTTCATATGAGGTGTGCCAGTTTTTTGACTGTTCTATTCATCTTTTTAAATAGAAAACATTCTTGCACCTGAAGATTACATAATGCAAAACTTACATTATAAGATGTTAAAACAAGCACCTTTATTCAACCCCTCACAGAAGTAAATATAAATAGGTATTGCATTATATTATTAGTATTATTAAAGATTACAGGTCCACACACTTTAAAGACTGATAATTACACAAGAATGACTGTGGAATAATTATGTTACAACAAAGTGAAATTAGTGGTTTTAGTATTCAAAATACAGGTGAGTAAATTAGTACTCTATTTGGTAATTACCGCGCACCACGGATATGTCACCTGTAACCGTTGTGATTATTAGTTGTTTTAGGTATATAACACTATTAGGGAACAAGACGGAGGTTGCTCATTCTGGCAGTATAAGTGGTTAATTATAGCCTGTAATTTAAGGGGTTAGCAATAATCAGTCAAAGGCACAAGCAATGTTTTTTCCAACAATCATTTCCTTTAAAGTTCCCAGAGGCACTGCAGCTG